AAACTAACCAAGTGCTAACAAGGGTTTTACACCAAACCAACTGGGTAAAAGCGAAAAACAAACCAAGTTGGGGTACTGCATCCCCAACCTAAGCTGGAGTGCTTCTGAACACTAAACCCCAAACTGGAGTACTTTCTTACCCCCTAACCAAGCTGGAGTGGGGCTGGCCCCTAACCTAAAGGGTACTGGAAAAAACACTAACCCCAAGGGTGGATACCCGCTGAAAACTAACCAAAAGGCCCGGATTTGGGCTGTTTTTAAAAACCCAAGCTGGGGTGTTACGAAACTAAAACCCAAGAGGAGTGGTGGCCGTAACACTAACCTAAGCGGATTAACCCGATTTACCCCCCCCTAAGCGGAAATACGCTGTAAAACTAACCAAAACTGGGGATGGTGCTGAAAAATAACCTAAAACTGGAGGAAAAAGTTTCACAAAACCTAAGCTGGAGTGGTGCTGTACACAAAACCCCCTAAAATTTTAAAAGGGAGGCAAAAAAGCACTTGGAGAAAAAAACAAATAACTTTCAGAACCTTTTAAATGCAATAAAGCCCTCTCCGTTAGTGGGAAAAAATTGAAAGTCCCCCTTACCTGTACGCTGGGAATACAGGGAAGACAGGGACATGAAGACATACACTTAAAAAACCATGCAGGAAAAAGTCCCCAAAATTTCACAAAGAAAGCAGGGGAACAACACAATTTTTTGTCAAGGCCCAAAAAATGTTCGCCAAACCCCAAAGCTGTCTTTCCCAAATTGGGGCCTGACACCTTTAAATCAAACTGCCAAACCCCGGCTGTGGTTCATAAATTTCAAATTTCCCTTGGGACCGGCCGTAACAACCTGGGGTTTAGGGAGGGCCCAAACCACCGAAAAACCTTTTCGTGAACTTTTCCGTTAAAATTCCGGGGAAAAATCCCCTTTAGGTTTTGGGATTTTAAAATCCGGCCTCAAAAGTCCCTATTAATATCAAAGGGGTTTTTTCAGAAACTATTTTATATATAATATTTATATTTTTTTTAAATAAAATATATAATATATATATAATTAAATATATAAAAAAAAAAAAAATAAAAAAAAACCCCCGGGTTTTTCCCCCCCCCTCGAAAAACCCCAAAACTTCCCCCAATGATCCCCCCCAAGACTCCCACATAAACCAACCCATGGGAAAACCCCCCGCCAACCCATGACCCCACCCATAACCCAAAACTAAACTTTACACATGATCCAACACAAGACCCTCACACATTTCCAACACATGACGTCCCACATGATCCAACACATTACGTTACACATGATCCAACACATGACGTCACACATGATCCAGCACATGACGTCACACATGATCCAACACATGATGTCACACATGATCCAACACATGACGCCACACATGATCCAACACATGACGTTACACATGATCCAACACATGACGTCACACATGATCCAACACATGACGTCACACATGATCCAGCACATGACGTTACACATGATCCAACACATGACGCCCACACATGATCCAACACATGACGTCACACATGATCCAACACATGACGTCACACATGGTCCAACACATGGTCACACATGATCCAACACATGACGTCACACATGATCCAACACATGACGTCACACATGATCCAACACATGACGTCACACATGGTCCAACACATGACGTTACACATGATCCAACACATGTCACACATGATCCAACATATGACGTCACACATGATCCAACACATGACGTTACACATGATCCAACACATGACGTCACACATGATCCAACACATGACGTCACACATGATCCAACACATGACGTCACACATGATCCAACACATGACGTCACACATGATCCAACACATGACGTCACACATGATCCAACACATGACGTCACACATGGTCCAACACATGACGCCCACACATGATCCAACACATGACGTCACACATGATCCAACACATGACGTCACACATGATCCAACACATGAACGTCCAACATGATCCAACACATGACGTCACACATGGTCCAACACATGACGTTACACATGATCCAACACATGTCACACATGATCCAACATATGACGTCACACATGACCCAACACATGACGTTACACATGATCCAACACATGACGTCACACATGATCCAACACATGACGTCACACGTCTGGTGGCCTGGTGGTTAACGCTCTCGCTTCACACGGTGAGGGCCTGGGTTCGATTCCCAGCCAGAGTAGAAACATTGGACGTGTTTCTTTCCACCTGTTGTCTATGTTCCCCATCAGTAAAATGGGTACCTGGGTGTTAGTCGACTGGTGTGGGTCGCATCCTGGGACACTGACCTAAGGAGGCCTGGTCACAGACCGGGCCGCGGGGGCGTTGACCCCCGGAACTCTCTCCAGATAAACTCCAGATAAACACATGATCCAACACATGACGTCACACATGATCCAACACATGACGTCACACATGATCCAACACATGACGTCACACATGATCCAACACATGACGTCACACATGGTCCAACACATGACGTCACACATGATCCAACACATGACGTCACACATGATCCAACACATGACGTCACACATGATCCAACACATGACGTCACACATGATCCAACACATGACGTCACACATGGTCCAACACATGACGTTACACATGATCCAACACATGCCACACATGATCCAACATATGACGTCACACATGATCCAACACATGATGTCACACATGATCCAACACATGACGTTACACATGATCCAACACATGACGTCACACATGATCCAACACATGACGTCACACATGATCCAAACACATGACGTCACACATGATCCAACACATGACGTCACACATGATCCAACACATGACGTCACACATGATCCAACACATGACGTCACACATGATCCAACACATGACGTCACACATGATCCAACACATGACGTCACCAATGAGGATTCCTTGTGGATCGAGGTGTGTGCCAAGGAAGGAATTGGCAACAGCCAACAAAAAAGCCCCTGAATGAGGAGCTCTCCCTGCAAGGAGATGGGTTCTATTCTTCAGCGACTCTCTGAAACACTATTGAGGCTATATTCTCCACTACTGGGTCATCCGAGATCAGGTTTCAGAGCCTGTTAGATTATCTCCGAGAGTGTGGCTCTGTCAACGAACTTTTCATCATTGACTCCAACTTTGTCCCTAAAATATTCAGGGAGAATCGCTGCTACAAGTCCACTGGATGAAACACACGAGGACAGGAAAGTAGGTAGTGCAATCTGTGATGCCCTGCAGACACCAGTGCCTCCTAGTCTTTATTTATTTATTTATTTATTTATTATCAATTTGAGCACACATACAGAGGTACAAAAAAATACAGATAAGAGCAGCATGCCAAAGCCACTTATACTATGCATAGCATTACGGGCTGGCTTAAAATTAACTTAAGATTAACTAAGCAATGATGAAATCAGTGATAAAACATTAATGTAAACAGATTACTATAAAGCACAAGTGAGTATTACAAAGACAGGTCATATGGTTGCATTCAGTCATATGAAGGATTCTGTTAGGTAGTGTATTTAAAAAATAATAAAGTTAGATTCTGACTGGAAGTGTCGCTTGGTCCCACTGCCCATCTTCTAGGTTGAGTATTTTCGTAAAAGTATGCTTCAGGATACTGTTGTATTCATGCAGTATAAGGTTGAGTGTATGAGGGTGCACATCATAGGAACTATGTTAACCTGCGAAAATTCAAATACTTTGTGAGAAGGTACTAGGCATTATGGGTGTCAAGATTGCCTATTCGTTGTTTCATCCTCCTCATCTCATCCAGTTTCTTCCTGAGAATTGAGTCAATGGATCACTTCCCAGAGGTGCTCCAAGCAAGACGCTATTTGTAGAGGCAATGACTGATGTTCCTGGTAGTTTTGATCTTACTGTGCCAGTCACTAGTGTGCGTGTGTGTGTGTGTATAATATATATATATATATATATATATATATATATATATATATAAAAATATATATATATGCATTATAATATATATATATATTATATATATATATTTATATATATATAAAAAATATATATATATATATATATATATAAAAAAACACTGATCTCTGGCTGAAGGAGACTCGAACCTACGAACCTTAGGACAAAGGGACGCAGTGCTTTTACCAATCTACCCACTACTGGGCCAATACCTTGGCGTGTAGCATGCGCTACACGTTTGATCCAAGGCTTGGATCAAACGTGTAGCGCATGCTACACGCCAAGGTATTGGTCCAGTGTGGGTATTATTATTATTAAATTTTTATAATTAAGGGGGGAAGCGCTAAACCCGGAGGATTTTAACAGCGCCTGGGGGGGGGGATGTGGAAGGCATTCAGGCTTAATTCGGGAACTGGAGCACGGATCCAATTTCCCTAAATCAAGAGCCCTCACCAACATCAAGGAACCTTCCTTGAGGGGCCCGTGTGGGTAATTGGTAAAGCATGCGTACCTTGTCCTAAGGTTCGTAGGTTCGAGTCTCCTTCAGCCAGAGATCAGTTTTATATATATATATATATAATATATATATATAAATATATAAAAATATAATATATATATATATATATAATATTTTATATATTATATATATATATATATATATATATATATAGTTACATGCGCACATACACACTTGCATTCCTCCCTCTACATCACGACCCTTTCTCCCTTTCCCCTCCCCTTCCCTTCCCCTTCCCTGCCATCACTATATCCAAGCAACAATCAAATTACTGCAAAGAATTCAGCATATTATAAACGACCTCTTCCTTCATTATACTAATAAATCAATGACAGCGAATACCATAAAGAACCAATGAGAACTCTGATCTCAACACAGTGATTACTGAGTGGTGGTCCTGTGAAATCCGCTTTACTTGTCAACCTCTGCTGGCAATAAATCTCGAGTGTGTGTGTGTGTGCGGTAGTATTAGTGCCGGAGGTGTACGTGTAGCAGTGAGGGGGCTGTGCGTGTAGCAGTGAGGGGGCTGTGCGTGTAGCAGTGAGGGGGCTGTGCGTGTAGCAGTGAGGGGGCTGTGCATGTTGTGTGCTGGTCTACAACCACCCTAACTTTGAATCTCAAGATTCTGTCAAGTGTTGGAAGTGTTATATTGGCTGTCATCTGATATGGCTAATAAGGTAACTTTATGAAGTATTTTAAAATCTGTCGTCCCTTGTGTACACTGTCAGGATTTCAAACTTACTCGTGGAAACTGTCAGGAACAATCTGGCGGCTGTTATTGCCTGAAAGTTAGTAGGAATATCTGCTTCGTTATAAAAGCCTGGCATTTTGCATTTTTCGTAACATTATTGATAATTATATATCCTCAGGTAGTGGCGTTGATGTCTGTGCTGACAGTGGCGTTGATGTATGTGCCGACGGTGAATGCTGCAGCAGAAATTTTCTTTTCTGAACCCTACAGGTCAGTCCTGTTTTTTCAAGAAAAAAAATTAGTTGTACGGAATTTCTTTTTTTACAAAACATTTAACTAATTTTATATTAAGGAATTATTTTTCTGGAATTGAATAACCTAGATTGATGTTATGCCATCATTGCCTAGGTTTGTATTTGTCACCAGGCCCTGTGGTCCGGTGGCTGGAGCTCTCGCTTCACACGGCGATTGTTCGGGTTCGTTTCCTGGCGAGGGTAGAAACACTGGGCGTTTATATTATTCCACCGGCTGTCTGTTCCCCATCAGTAAAATGGGTAACTGGGTGTTAGTCGACTGGTGTGGGTCGCATCCTGGGACATGTACATGTGTTTGTAGAAATTGATATTATACATCAAAACTTGAGCCGAGCTGAGGATCCAGTGGTTTTCTCTGGCTACACTATCACGATTAACGTTAATAAATTAACTCCTAGACAGTTCTTCCAACTATTCATTATTTTTACTTAAAGCATCATAGGCAGCCTGGGCCCCCAACCACCAGCCACCAGCCCCCAACCACAAGCCCCCAACCCCCAGCCCCCAGCCCTTCCAGGTACACTACCTTCCTTTACCTCCTCCAGTGCATAAGTAGTATATTGACCTTACCTTGAGTGACCCTGGTGTACCCTCTTGCCCCCCCCCCACCACCTGGAGTTTACCTGAAGAGTTCCGGGGTCAACGCCCCCGCGTCCGGTCTGAGACCAGGCCTCCTGGTGATCAGAGCCGATCAACCAGGCTGTACATCCCTCCCCCAGCAGTGTCCCTACTTCCTCTCCCCGTGAAGAGGTTTACCTCTCCTCATCCCTCCCCCCCCCCCCGAATGCAGGAAAGTTATATGATAATATACACTTAGAAAATCCTAGAGGGACTATTCCCAAATCTGCACACAAAAAATCACTCCCTACAAAAGTAAGACACGACAGGATATGCAGCAGCCACTCCAATGAGCAGGAGGGGCGCCACGAGTACGCTGAGACAAAACAATAAGTCTCAGGAACCCAAGACTGTTCAACTGCCTCTCGGCACGCACAAGATGGATTACTAATAGACCCCTTTCTATCTTCAAGAGAGCGCTGAACAGGCGCCTCAAGTCATTACCTGACCAGCCGGCTGTAATTCGTACGTTCGTTCACTTGCGGCCAGCAGTAACAGCCTGGCTGATCAGGTCCTGATCCACCACGAGGCCTGGTCACGGACCGGGCCACGGGCGTTCACCCGAAACCCCCCTCCAAGTATACTATTTGTGTAAAGATGACTAGTTGAATAATATACTAATGCATCATTGCATATCGCCTGCGGCAGTTTCTTGCAGGAAAACCCCAGTTACTGTGGGTTCTTGGTAGGACAAACCTCCCTCGATGACACGTCTCGCTCTGAGCACCATGCTACTAGCCCCACCAGATCTACCTGGAGTTCATTACCTTTGTAACTAGTTCAGCTATCACAACTTTGGGGTCCAGTCCCTGGACCCATTATGTACCTCTGTAATCTTTTAACTACCGCCCACAAGATGGGTATGGGGTGCATAATAAAGATATTAAACTAAACTAACACCTACCCAGGCAACCTCGGGCCCTGCCTGCCCACCTCTTTTGCTCTCTTCAGGTAGACATAGGTTGGAAAGGGGGCTCTTGAAAGGGGATCTCCATGAAAGGGGAAAGGAAAGGCTGGTTAAAGCATAAGGAGAGAATGAGCTCTGCTTCAGTCACCCAGCTCTTAACCTTGAAGGGGATTTCACTGCCGCCTCCTGCCGGTAATAGTTGTTCTGGGGTGCCTGGTCCCAACAGCTGCTGGCTCAGTCAGTGGTGCGGTTTTCTGGGGTTCCATTAGGTGCCACAGCTAATGTAGTGCCTGTTTTCTAAGAAAGCTCAGCAGAAGTGATAATCATCTTGCTGACCTAATCTGTGAGCTACCCAGCACTTTCATCCTCCTGGGTGGCTATGCTGCCCACCATCCTATGTTAGGGAACTTTGTACCGGACAGAAGTTTAGTCTTCCCTGACACTCTTGAGTGCACCCCTCGTTCAGGATATCGTGCAAATGCTTTCTTAGGCATAGACCTCTTGGCTTAACTTCCATAGGGATAATATGCCTCTCCTGGAGCCTTAATCCTTCCCAATAGTTTGCCCTCTGCAGTCGAAATTGGGAAATAGCGATTCCTTGAAACTGTCCGATCCCGTGTTTTTTTTTTTTTTTTTTTTTTTTTTTTTATTTTATTTAAAACATGACGGTACAAAAATATATAAATATATAAAACATGTTCAATAACTAAACACCATCCTACCTACAGGTAACATTACACCTCACACTTGCAACTCCGTGTGGATACACAACCCCCCCCCCTTCCTTTTGTTCTCTCATCCTATCACTTAACCCAAGCATGTTGGAAATACCCGACAGAATTACACAACGAACACTTATCTACCCATTCCTTAAAATGGTACATAACTGGTACCCTCAGATGCATCCATTTTTCACTCCACATTGATGACGTAAGCGAACCACTAGAAAAACATTCCAGACCATGCAGTTCATTGCACTGAACATATACACACCGACATATTACACGGCCCCCCCCCCCCCCCGGTGGTTATCCAACACTACTATTGACAACCTAACATACTACAAACAATGGATGTTACCTAAACTGATTTCACATGTTTTTTACCTCCCAACTACAGTGTCTCAACTTAACATTGATAAGATTACAAAGAAACACCGACTTAAAAAAAAAAAACAGGTCATTTGCGTGAATACTAAAGACGCATTATGTAATCCCCTCGAGGAAGGTTCCTTGATGTTGGTGAGGGGCTCTTGATTTAGGGAATTGGATCTGTGCTCCAGTTCCCCGAATTAAGCCTGAATGCCTTCCACATCCCCCCCCCCCCAGGCGCTGTATAATCCTCCGGGTTTAGCGCTTCCCCCTTGATGATAATATGTAATGCTGAGAATTCAGCACAGGAATTAAACATATTTAACAAACAGGATAAGACATTTATACCTATGTTAATATTATCTCTTCACAACTTTATTGTAACTCCCCTTAAACACAAAATTGTCTACCCCATATTTTAAAATTACACGACTTGCAGGTCTCACTACATATAATACAAAGCCCACAGCTAAAACATAAGCTAGTACATTCAACTAGCAAGAAGCCCCCATACAAGTTGACAGTACTGTACCATCACCAATGCAAGCTTACTTAACACCTACAATACACAAATTACTCTGTACACAGTACATGTTTTCCAAGCTCGCAGGCCAAACTGGTCAAAACGTGCAGTTATCTGGTGACTGTGCCACTTCCAGCAATAATGCACACATGAATTACAAAGTATAATGCAACATCTCTGAACACTTGTTCATACTCTCAGGCCAAACAAGTCGAGACATGAAGATCACCAGTAACAAACAATAATGCCACACACATTAAATACAAAATTATCTTTCTCTGAACACCGTTCAGAAACTCGGCGCCCACTCCATGCGGTACATAGCACCCAGAACAAATGTTGATGCAAGTACATGTAACAGATTGGATAAAACCTCCAAATTACAGTGCCATTACCTCTTCACTCAATGTCACACACAATATATACAAAATAAAAGTGCATCGCCAAACATTAACAGTAATGCTATAAGATAAACTTGTCACGCACATTAATATACCACATTCAAAACCCACCTTCCCCAAAACCCCTCTAACTCACAATCCCCCCCACACAATAACCTCTACGACACGCCTGAACACGCCAGCTCTCCCCCCCCCCCCGGGGAGGCCAGCCCGTTCATGCCCCTGACAATCTATAAAATCCATTAATCACTGAATTGGAAATCTCTTGTCCTCCGAGAAATTCCTCTCCCACCTCGCCCCATATATTTCCCTGTTGAGACTGTCCTATAAAAAGATGCAGCTAGAGCCATCCTACGTCCCCCCGCCCCCTTTGCCTATGATATAAAAACAAAATCAACCACTAAGTAAGCCACTGTCCTTTGAACCTTCACCCCCTACCCCACCACTTTAAACTAAGCGCTCGCAAACCGACAGCCCTCCCCCCCCCCCCCCACATACTGAATCACTTTCCCCAACCATTCCCTGGCAAGCCCTAGGCGTTCGCAAAAATAAGACTACATTTATTTATTTATTTATTTGTTTAGAAATTTAGCATACAAACAGAGGTACAAAAAATACAGGTAAGAGCAGCATGCCAAAGCCACTTATATGCATAGCATTACGGCCTGGCTTAAAATTAACTTAAGATTAACTAAGCAATGATGAAATCAGTGATAAGACATTATTGTAAACAGATAACTATAAAATACAAATGAGTATTACAAAGACAGGTCCAATGGTTGCATGCATTGCTGTTCATTCAGTAGAATGGAGTATTCTGTTAGGTAGTGTATTTAAAAAAATAACAGGTTTAACAATTATGTGATATAATTGTGAGTAACATTTATGATATACAATTTATATGGTTCAGTTATTCAGTATTTATTTGGTTTTGAGTAAGTGAACTTTGAGAAGAGACTTGAATTTATAAACAGGTAGTGTTTCTTTTATATTTACAGGTAATGAATTCCAGATTTTAGGGCCTTTTATGTGCATTGAGTTTTTGCATAGCGTGAGATGGACACGAGGAACATCAAAGAGTGATCTGTGCCTTGTATTATGGTCATGTGTTCTGTTGAGGTTGGCAAGGAGATGTTTGAGGGGAGGGTTTATATCAGAGTTAAGTGTTCTATGTATGTAATAAGTGCAATAAGAAGTATGGATATTTTGTATGGTGAGTAGGTTGAGTGTTTTGAATATTGGAGTGTGCTGCCTGTAGTGAGAATTTATCATGAAAAGCCGATTCATCTACCCCACAACCTTGACACTCCCCACCCTCCCTTATTCGTCTATTATGTAAAACTACCCCTGACAGCAAGTTTTCCATGGAGAAACCTATACATTACCTCCCTCATGTGCGGCAGGATACGTAACCCT